GGTGAAACCACAAACTCAAAATGACACCAGCTTCGGGATCATAATAGAATTCGGAAATAGAGTTTACGATGCATTCATAATTATCTGATTGACAACATAAGGACGAATATAATGAGAGCATTTCCGCCAGTGCATCCAGAAGCTTCGTTTGATTTGCATCATTTTAAGCTTGCTGCATTTGAAGAATAGTTTAAAAGTCATCCAATGATACAGACATTTTGATCAGGATCAATCAATAAACGAAACAAAAAAATTTTCAGCGCCAGATGTTCTGACTCGAAGTTGGGTCGATTCTTACCCCGTGCCAATTGTTGCGTCCTTGACTGAAAGATTAGAGAGCACCGTATTATAGATCGAATCAGTGACACGTAAAACACGTACGAACGACCTAGATTGATCCCGCTTCCCTGTCTAGCCCAGTCAGTTGAGTCCAGAACACAAGTCACAACCACTGAGATATGAATCGTTATATTTCAAACACACTCTGCTTATATACCAATCAAGCATACCACATCGTACCATAAAATGGAAAACAGCATTTTGTACAATATTTAACAAGTGAACAACTGTCGACCAGTAGGAAATGTCCATTTAAAGTCCAAGGACACCATCGAACCAAACATGATAATTATTGGTACATTCCTCTGCATCCCTGACACCTCCCTTTTTATTTGAAGATCCAGAGTTGATAACCGGACTAATAAATCTAGATCTGCACATCTTAGTGTATATAATAGGCGAATATAAAAGCCAAGAATAAATAAAATACCTGTAGCGCACAGGTTTTCACGTCATTACATTAATTCTTGGAACCTGATACCTGAGGGAGTGGTGTGTTGGACCAAGATGTTTTATAACAAAAATTAGCGATAAAGTTATTACGTTCAAAATTTAATGTACTAATAACGATTTATAAATTAGCAACACAAAATTAAATTTCAGGGACGTTACTTAAATCAGCTAGTTGTTGCCTGTTCCGTTGAGTTTCGGTCCGAAAAATCCCCAATTATAAATGAGTAATAACTCCAATGAGATAAATATGACTCCAGTAAGTTTCTTTGGCGTAGTATGTAATAGAAATGGCACAGCAGTCTAAAATGTGGAAATTATTCGATTTAGAATGCGATTGACTCCATAACGCGTGAGAATAGAACACGGAGCGTGTGTGTGCAGCAATGTATTTGTTAGCATGCAACAATTTGTCACGCTATTTAGTTACACTACGAAAAAATTGTTCAAGGTCATTAACTAAAACAACACGTACAGTCATTTAATGATAAATATACATACAGTGAAAAATTGACAAAATAAATTCAAATAATATTAAAAACTATTTACAAAATAAGTTTGTCAGTCATATCTCCACATAGCTCCCCCAGAGTGACCGGAGGTAACACTGGTTATAATAACAAAAACAACAAAAATGTAAGAATATTGTATATACAGGTATGCGAAGACAATATTTACAATAATAACCAATAAAAATGTGGAGATGCGTATGACATGTACGTTAGTAATATACAGTGCGTTATTGTGTGAAAGTAGCAGTGATGTAACATAGTATAACAAACAAAAGTAATGAGAATATCGTCATTTAAAATCTTGGTTTGCTAACATTGATAATAATGTGCAGAACTGTTACTAAACCCAAAAACTTGAACTGCTGATTTTTTTTGTGTGTACAATAAATGAATAATTAAATAGGGTTTACTCGTTCATTATTGTAACAAATTTTTGTTTTAAAAATGTGACAAAACGAATAATTGTGGGGGAAAATGATTAATTATGTACACCGTAAAAAAGGAAAAAAAATCATAGATTTTTGTTGGGAAAAATCGGGCGAGTATAATAATAATAATAATAATAATAATAATAATAATAATAATAATTTATTCTCAAATAACAGTTTGTTACATAAGGCATGCCAGTTTACAAGGAAGTTGACACAAATGATGCAATATTCACTGCAGTAAATTACATGGCTTTGTTGATAATTTGTAAGATATGAATCAAGATGGTTTTAATCAGTACCGCAGTTGGCGCGCTTCATGAAAGTTGCGTTCCAAATGTGCGACTGATGGTCAAGGATAGGTCCATTGAAGGTTGGAGCTTCTAAATGTCGCAACCTTATGTCCCTTTGGAATGTCTAAGACTTTGAGGATGGTGCAGGATGAAATATTCATGAAGGAATGTTTGAGGTATGATTACTCAGTCTAATTTTCTTTTATAATTGTATTTGTTAAGAAAGAGCATTTTAATAGGTTAAAGAAAATAAGTGTTAACAAGGTGTGAGTGGACATACAACAGACAAATGGAGGCGATTCGGAAAAGAGCTGAGAGTTTAAGATTATGTGTGATTATAAAATAAAATATAGCGCTAGAAACAATATTGTGATATACAGTTAGCTGTATTCCTTTTATTATCGAAGCTATTAGAGCCCCTTTCGTTTTTTTGTATTTTTTTTTCCAGGTATTATAAGGTCTTGAGTAGGCTTCGTATATTAGCGAATTATCTGGTTTGCTTGTAATAGGATTTCTGGGTAGAAAGTGAAACCAATTCAACATTCGTAACACGATTTAAAGAGGTATTTTGCGTGATAAGTCAGCTTCAATACCATAAGTTCGTGACATCCCACTAAACTATAAGGAGCCGTAATTAAACAAAATGTTCTGCCCTACAAACATGGCTGGATTGAATTTATCTCTCCACCATCATGTTTGCTGATCAGTAACGCCACCCTCCCTCCTTTTGTGATGTTAGGTTCCCTTACGTTAGTGGTAAGTATGAATACTGCTTTAATCAAAGCCCATAGTTGGAATACACTGTCTCTACTAGGTCCATGTTAGAAGCAAATCAGATAGTTGAAAAGTCTGTTTTATGGATTAGATGTCCATATAGTATATCACACTGCCATGAAAACAACTAATGGTTTAAAGAAGTAAGGACTTATAGCAAATCAAAAGATATGAGAGGGTATAAAATTGTAGAAAAAAAGATTTCAGGGTAAGACAAATAAAACATTGAGAACCTCATAAGACTTTGTGGCTAAATTTCGAGCATTGATTGATCGGCCTTAGTAGATCAGCATTCATAAGATTGAGCTATCTGTCTACTTGCAGTAGAAAAAAAGGCATGACTTTTAGGAAGAATAATGTACATTTAACCTGTAGAGATTTGGGAACTGAAAGCTAGGGTTAGGAGCATGAAGTCATGATTAATAAACAATGAATAATAGGAAAGGATAAGCCATATATTGTGATTTGGTTATATTCATATTAGTAACAGTCGAACTTGTTATAATTTTATTCTTTCTAGATACTAGGCGGTCCGTAATAAAGTGCCTCATTGGTGGGCGGGAGTTCAATGAAATGTTGAAGCTCTTTGGAGTCTAGAAATAGGGTTATTAGCTTTTTGAATCTGGTAAACGTATCACAATTACGGATAGGCATTGGCAGCCTGTTCCACAATAAACTGTACCGTACTGTAAAGAACTTACAACGCATTTGTTTTTGGTGTTTTACGGTAAGTAGTGTATATGCGTTGTTTCTAAGTCTGTAGGCTGGGTCGTGGGTGATAGTCGGGCAGGAGGTTAGAAAGGAGAGCCCGTATATCGCTTTGTAGAGAAATATTAAATTGTTTTTTATCCTACGGTGCCATAAAGGTTCTAAAGATAGATGCTTACATCTATCTGTGTAATAGAGATTCGAGTTACATCCTAGTAGTTGACGTGTGAAATGTCTTTGAACATCTTTTACTCTTATCTTGTCTGTGATATTCATGTAAGAGAAGTTATAGTACATCGATAATTGTTTGTTTAGCTTTTTTTATTTGGCGAAATGTACATAGCGTTTGGATTTTTTACAGCTCTGCCTGAGAGCGTCGAGCAAGTAGGTTTGATACTCGGTTTTTCTTCCATGTCTGTTCTAGTGGTGGTTGCTGGAAGTGGTTGGTTCAGTGAAGTAGTATGTTCTTTATCCTGCTGTGCTTCGTGGAAAGCAGGCTTTATTCTATTGACAGCGATAGTCTCTTTCTCTACACTTGTTGATTATTAAATGTTTGTTTGTTCTTTTAATTACTTGATATGGTCTTTCATAAGGTTGTTTCAATGGCTTTTTAACAGCATCAACTTGAACGAAGACAAACTTGCATGTTTCTAGATTTCTATCGAGTTGTATTCGATTGTTATGTTCACGAGGCGGTATGGCTTTGATCTGTTGCATGGTCTGCAGCAGTTGGCTAGCAAAACGACTTGGGTACGTTGGTGTTAAAGTGATTGGGTCCACTAGTTGACCTGGTAAATTAAGGGTTGTACCATATACTAGCTCAGCGGCTGTACAACCTATATCTTCCTTTATAGTTGAACGGATGCCCAGGAGTACGAGTGGTAATGCGTCATTCCATTTTGTCGTATCAACTTGTGCCATCAGCAAGCTTTTCAATTGGCGGTGAAATCTTTCGACCAAGCCGTTAGCTGCTGGGTGGTAGGTTGTCGTTTTAATGTGGTTTACTGCCAGAAGTCTTGTGAATTCCTGAAATAAGATAGACTGAAACTGGGGACCACGGTCGGTAGTGACGATGGAAGGTACTCTGTAATTTGCTATACAACGGTCAAGGAATACGCCGGCTACTGTTTCTGCGGAAGTATCAGCAATAGGGCATTCTATAGCCCATCTTGTGAATCTGTCTACTCCAGTGAGGATGTGTGTGAATGAATTAGATGATGGCGATGGACCAACTATGCCTAAATGTATATGTTGTAAACGTTTATCCGGCAGGAGATACTTACCAACTGGACTGATCATGTGCTGCTGAATCTTGCTGCGTTGACATTGTAAGCAGCTTCGCGTCCATCGTTTTATATCTGAATTGATCTTTGGCCACACAAAACGCTCAGTAATCAATTTGGTTTTGGCTCTGATTCCTGGGTGAGAAAGGTTTTCGTGCCTATAGGTAACCCTCGTACTATTGATAGAAGAAACCCGAGAAGTTGTGAGTACGACTTTATTTCGATCTTAGCGCAGTCACAGTGGAGCGTGGGATTATCTGTTCAGACAAACAAAGGCTTTCAGCATTCAATATAAGATAATAAGGAATATAACGCTTATACAAAATAAGGAAGTGAATGAATACTTGAACAATACTGTTTTGGCATATGCTTGGTTGTTTGGGGTCAACTCTTAACCAACCAACCTATGCTGTTACATTAGCTTCCCCCTAGAATCGACTTCCGTAGGAACGTCGGTTCGATTAACCTATCTATCAAAAACACCTTAGTTCTATTTCTCATTCCAAGGGAAAGTTATCAACTCACTCAATGTTTGACTTACAATAAGTGGCAACTAACGCTGTCAACGGTAGTCCATGGATGTCTCTTCATTTACTAGCTTGTCATCTTATTTAGTAGCATGTGATTTCTTCTACAACTATAGCTGACGGTTTACTGAGTGCTTTCATGAGAAAGAGTGTTAAACTGTGGAATAAGAATATCTGAGGAAGTGCCGCGAGCGGGCTACCCAACACCATGTTGGTGAGGTACGATTTTTCCATGCTCAGACCGGTTATCAGGTGTTTACTCACCTGCCTCTTGAGTCGCCCTCAAGTAAAAAGTAAAGAAGAATCTACTTCAAAGGTAATGGTGAAAACCAATCAAACCTAAAGAACCGCTCCACTGCCTGCATCAAAATAATAAGATACAAAATGGAAATACATAAACATAATTGATAATTGTTCGGTTCCACGTAAGTGATTGGCCTCCAGAACGGATTGGTATTCTGGAAGAAAATAGACATAGTGTAGCCATCTTGTGTACGAAAAGGTATGAAAACAAATAAAATCCTTTTTTATAATGTATAAATGTAAAAGTGTAAACTTGCTAGAAGTTGGACTCATTGTCAAACCCGTTCAAATGTGTGACCTTGGGAATGTGACAACCGCCTTTTCTAACCAGGTACGTAACCAAGGGTGCATAATTTTACTCCATAAAACGGAAGAGAATATACGGTTAAAGAGGGGAGAAAATTGTGTAGAGTATGAGGATCAAGTACAGTTGTGTCAAATACTCTTTTCTGGTTTGATTTAAATATGTATGATATGCTGAGGCAATATTTCGTCAATTAATCAAAGTAACGAATTTGTCTGCACCTTAGAAGTGTGTAAGTCCTATTACTCATTAGTATTATGAATGAATAATTGGTAAAAGGAAAGATTGCAGTCACCCCTCGTGGTCTGATGTGGCCTAATGGCTAGGCACGCGGTCTAGCATTCAGAAGGGCTGAGGTTCGAGTGCGTGTGGGTCATGTGTTTTTGTTCATCGAAACCCCCTTCAATACGATGTTTATTGGCCATAAGTTGCTCAGATATGAGAGAAAAATAACAGGAGGACTGGTTGATATATCAGAATGCCATATTGGAACAGTACACGTTCTTTGTTTGGATTACTAATAATACCATAGAAAAAAAAATCTACAAGTTTTGTAATTTCCATTTTACGTTATATTTAAACCGAGAGAAAAAGTATATATATATATATAAAAGTTACTGACATAACATGTCTTTTTTATAACGCTAGTGTTAAGTTCCAGGGTTTTGTCAGGACCACTAATAATAATTGGTTTAACGTTAACATAGCTATGATAGTCATATCGTTAGTTCAATGTTATGATTACTTAAGAGTTCCTTTATAAGTTGTGTTTAAAATTAGGTATGCGGAATCAATGCGGCTAACATAGTAACCTTACAGTAACGCACTGTACTATATCTCCACGGTTATTGATTCTTAAATGTCAGAATTTTAAAAAAAAATCTGAATATTGCCAATAAAGATGGGTTATATGATCACACTAAAAAGCATGCTGCAGGAAAACTGGTTAAGTCATTATATAAGTTTCCTAAACATGAAAAAAAATGATGAGAACTTTAATAAGTACTTGGCCATGGTTTAATCCAAAATGTTTTGTCTAGAAAACCACTTATTAATAGTAGTATTAATCGTATCAAGCTACTAAACATATCTTCGACCGGAAACTCTTAGAAGTAGTTCATATTGTATATATGTATTGCCAGTCTACGTGAAAAATGTATAAAGATATATAAGGAGTACAGCCAACATAGTTAATTAACCAGAAAAAGAAATTATAAAACTCGCCTGGGTTGCTTTGTGAATTCGTTGTATTTGCCAGTGTTAGTTGTATGAGTTTGATTAAAATCCTCAGCCATCGTTTCGGAATACCTAGCTTATGTGTCCAGTATTTAAAAAAAAATTTAACATAACATTTATATATCAAAGGTAAAAGGTCTAGGGAGTTGTAGGTGAGGCGGAATGAGGGGAAAAATATTTTTGAGTAGATGCAGGGTCTGATTAGCTACGTGGTTAGATTTTATCCTGCAGCCGAAACTGTCAACATCCTTGACTGACTAATTGGATGTGCCCAGTGAACCGTTTTAGTCATTTGTAAAGATTTATCATCTTTACATTTCGATTCCGTAATGGATTTGTCAGTTAAACGATCTAACAATACGTATGGTGGTTCATGATCTAGATAAGCCGGCTTTAGCCTATCAATACTTATTGTGTCGATGTTTCCATGTTTTTCTATCTCGAAATATTTAGATTTTCTTGAGACGACTTTGAAAGGACCTTCAAATGGAGGACTGAGTGGTGATTTTATTTTATCACATCTTATCCAGACGTGCGTGCAATTGCTTAGGTCTTTAGGTACATATACGGCGCGCGATTGTTCGCGAGTATTAATTGGTTTAAGTTTGGACATATGGTCCCGTAGTTGATCTACGTAATTTTCTAAATTAAGTTTTTGACTGTTAGTATTAGAGTTAATAAATTCACCTGGTAGTCTCAGAGTTGTTCCGAAAACCAGTTCCGCAGCTGAACATTGTGCGTCAGTTTTGACAGATGTTCGTATTCCCAACATAACTAAAGGTAGGAATTCTGTCCACTGATTGGGGTTTGAGTGAGATATAAGGGCAGTTTTTAGCTGACGGTGAAAACGTTCTACCATCCCATTAGCCTGAGGATGATATGCAGTGCAGCGTATCCTATTGGAGCCTAGAAGTTTAGCCAAGTTATTAAATAGTTCGGATTCGAATTGCGCTCCTCTATCCGTCGTTATTGTTATGGGTGTACCAAAAATGGTTACCCAGTTCTGCATGAAAGCTTTGGCTACTGTTTCCGCTGTGATGTCCGCTATCGGGATGGCTATAGGGAATCTGGTAAATCGATCTATGCATGTAAAAAGATAATTAAAACCATTTGAACGGGGTAAAGGACCTACCAAGTCGATATGCACATGTGCAAAACGTGCATCTGGTTGCGAGAAAACACCTATGGGTGAATTTGTGTGACGATTAATCTTTGATTGTTGGCATGCTGAACACTCTCTAACCCATTTGTGTACATCCTTCTGTAAATTCGGCCATATATATCTGGCATTGATTAGTTTAGTTGAAGCTTTTGCTCCAGGATGAGACAAAGAATGAAAGTTATTATATATCAACTTTCGCATATTTTTGGGAACGAAAGGTCGCGGCATTGCCTTGGTCGTGTCACAGTAAATTAGAATACCATCGATAGGTGATGGGAACTGTTTTAAATTAAGACTTGAATTGTTTGTTTTGAGTAGGTTTTGTAATTCTAGGTCCTGCTCTTGTTCGTGTCTCAACGTCTCGAAGTTTACTGTAGACTGCTGTACCACGTTCATTTCTAGTCTGGATAAAGCATCTGCCGCCTGATTGTCCTGACCTTTGACATGTCGGATATCGCTTGTGAACTGTGATATATAGTCAAGATGTCGGACTTCTCGAGGTGAGTACTTATCGGCTCTCGCTTTTAATGCATTCGTCAGTGGTTTGTGATCCGTAAAGACTATAAATTCCCTACCTTCTAACATGTGTCGGAAGTGTTTAATAGTCAGGTAGATTGCAAGAAGTTCTCGCCCGAAGGTAGAATACCTTGTCTCAGCTGGAGCGAGTCTTTTCGAGAAGAAAGCAATTGGTTTCCAGGCGTTTTTAACCAGTTGGTTAAGGGTACCGCCTACTGCTTTATCTGAAGCATCCACCATCAAAGCAAGTGGGGAAAGAGAATTCGGATATATCAACGTAGTTGCTTGAGCCAGTTTATCTTTAAGCTGTTTAATAGCTTCGACGGCGTCAGAAGACAGTTTGAATTCTTTTGGTTTTCCTTTAAGTAAATCTGTTAAAGGTTGCATTAATTGTGCACAACCTGGTATGAATCTGCGATAAAAGTTAATTAGACCTAGAAAACTTCTCATTTGTGTTAGAGAGCTAGGTATCGGGTATTGTTTGATGGTATCCACTTCTTTTTTTATAGGTTTAATCCCTTCTGGGCTTATTGTGTGACCAAGAAATTCTAAAGTTTGAACACCGAAAACACACTTACTTTGATGTATGTTTATTCCATGTTCATTCAATCTTTTCAACACTGCTCGTACATGCTCTTCGTGTGATTGCAAATTGGGGCTGGCAATTAACAAGTCGTCTATATACCCCTGCGCAAATGGCATATCTCGAAGTAGGTTATCTATGAATCTTTGAAATGTCTGTGCCGCATTTCTCAGGCCGAATGGCATGCGTACAAACTCGAATAAGCCGAAGGGTGTTGTAATAGCTGTCTTAGGGATATCTTCATCGGCTACCGGGATATTGTGATATGCCCTGACTAAGTCAATTTTGGTGAATATGTTCATACCCTGTAAACCGTTTGTGAAATCTTGTATATGCGGTATTGGGTACCTATCTGGTACGGTTTGACGGTTGAGGGCTCTGTAATCCCCACACGGTCGCCAGTCACCTTCATTCTTCTTTGGGACCATATGCAAAGGGGATGCCCATTGACTATCAGAGGGACGGATAATACCCAGTTGTAGCATATAATCAAACTCGGCTCTAGCGATTTTGAGCTTATCTGGTGCTAGTCTCCTGGGTTTTGCAAACACCGGTGCACCTTCGGTTTTGATAGTGTGACTTACTTTTAGTTTGTCTTTGGAAGGCTGTGGGTTTGGTTTAGTTAAGTTTGGAAATTCCGCGAGTATATCTTGGAATTTCGCTGTTGTTACTGGAGGGGTTTGAATCAAGTTAAGAGAGCTGATGTGACTTTCTTTGCCTTTTGTGTAAAACGAAGTTTCTTTTAGTGTTAATCGCCGTTTCTTGGTGTCAACTAGAAATTCGTATCTCTCTAGAAAGTCCATCCCCAGTATTGCCAGATCTAAGTCGGCTACCGTGAAAACCCAAGGGAATTGCCTTCTGAACCCCAAATCTAGGGTTAACGTTTTCTGCCCAAATGTCGCGATTGTAGTTTTATTTGCAGCTTGAAGTGTAATCGGGGATGTTTCTCGACTAATCTCAGTTTTATTTCGAGGGATGATGCTAAGAGCAGCGCCAGTGTCCACCAAGAAATTCAAGCCCGAGTTTCTGTCTCTGACATAAAACAAGCGACTGTTTAGGCGCCCCTCCTCAGTTGTCGCGACCTGGGGAGGGGTTACTCGTTTCCCGCTGTCTTGGAATTATGCTTAGGCCAGGCGCATGGTTGCCTGCACTTGGTTGAGTTGACACCAAACTTCCAGTGGTACCAACAAAACTGCCCAGATTGTCTGGACATTTGTGACCTATTTTGTGACTTGGATCGTGATCGTTGTGGTGACCTGTTCCTGTTTGTATGACCCATTTGCATTCTGGTGACAGCCTCAGTGAGACTCTTAACACTCGCAATGAGTCCTTCTATGACGGGGTCTTTTGCTGATTCTACTTTCTGTGTGTGATTTATTGTGCCTGAACCAGTTGGAGGACCTCTTTCCATTATTCCATCAGCTATACGCGCTAAATGAGATAATGAGGTTTCAGGATCTTGTGCATCCAAACAATGTTGGACGTAGCATGGGAGAGCTTGTATCCATCCTTGCTTTAGGACTGCTTCACCCACTGTGTTATCACCCACTAAGACTTGGAGGTGACGTAGAAACTGTGACGGCGACCGATCACCTAGTGTTTCACCTTGAAAAAGTCTTTGGATTCTTTGACTATCTGATAATGATAAACGGTTCATTATCTCTCGTCTTAAGACGGTGTACGGTTGTGGTGATGGTGGATCTAAAATCAAGTCACGGACTTCTTTGGCGACTGAAGGAGGAAGGATAGAACACAAATCTCTATAGCGAATCCCTTCAGATTTGATATTGTGTCTCGTGAAATAATGCTCGAGTTGAGCAAACCACAACTCAGGATCACTACGATCAAATTCTGGAAGTCGAGATTTCGTAGTCATAACAGTGTCTATCTCCACTGGTGACAAATCCTCCAGATTATGGGTTTCTTTTAAGTCTGACATGATGTATGTGACAAATATAGCAACAAAATTAGCACGAAAAAAAATGGTTTCTATGACACGAATAACTTAAGATAATAAAAAAAATAAACTATTTATATACCCAACTTAGTTTACGGATTATCAGGTCTACTTTTACGATTGAGTAAAAAAAAATAATATTAATAACAAAAATGAGGTTAATTTGTGTTCAAAAAGGGCTCACCAGTTTCGTGCCTATAGGTAACCCTCGTACTATTGATAGAAGAAACCCGAGAAGTTGTGAGTACGACTTTATTTCGATCTTAGCGCAGTCACAGTGGAGCGTGGGATTATCTGTTCAGACAAACAAAGGCTTTCAGCATTCAATATAAGATAATAAGGAATATAACGCTTATACAAAATAAGGAAGTGAATGAATACTTGAACAATACTGTTTTGGCATATGCTTGGTTGTTTGGGGTCAACTCTTAACCAACCAACCTATGCTGTTACAAGGTCATGCAGTTGACGAAATACTTGTCGAAGACAGGCTAGAGGGACGAAAGGGCGGTTGTTACCTGTTGAAACGTCGCAAATGATAGATGTATTTGAGAAAGGGATGGGTACTGGTTTAAGGTTCAAGTTAGACTTTTCCTGGCAGCTTCTTATTTCTGCGCCGTCTACTTGCAATTTCGCGAATGTTTCCAAATCGATATCTTGATTACGTACCAGAATATTTACATCCTTTCGTGATAAAGCGTCTGTTACGACATTGGTATGTCCTTTGACATATTGGATATCTGTTGTAGATTGGGAAATGTAATCCAGTTGTCTTGCTTCGCGAGGTGAGTGTCGGTCGTACGAAGTGTTGAATGAGTGACATAAAGGTTTGTGATCAGTCATTATAGTGAAAGTTCGACCTTGTGATAAGAAGTTGAAATGCTTGACAGCTAAGCAGATGGCTAGTTACTCCCGGCCGAAAGCACTATAGCGTTCCCGAGTTGGTGACAGTCTTTTGGAGAAAAACGCTATGGGAGTGGTCACGTTGTTTACCTGCTGTTGTATTACTGCCCCGACGGCTTTTTGAGATGCGTCCGTACACAAAATTAAGTGGACTGTGGGGTCAGTATTTAGATGTTGTAGCATGGTGGCATTAACCATCATCTACTTTGCTTTTTCAAATGCTGTTTTGGTGTCAAGAGATAGGTTGAATGTTTGATTTTTCTCTTTCTTCATACCGTTTTTGTCGGCTTTCAGCAAATCGGTTAATGGTTGTAACACACCTTTAACTGACTAATTTAAGAGAAGAGTAGACACTCATTAAAGCATACTAGAAAAATAATAAAACAGGCAGTAGGCCTCTTCTCCTTACTATACAAATCTGAATCTGAATGCGAAAAAGGATGACTCTTGTATTGAATATCACACAATTTCATAACACCGCTCATTCGAAGTACATGATGTATGAATAAAAATCGAAAAGTGGCTTTAAACCTGTAGCCTCATATTTAAATCAATAACTAAAAATTCTTTTTCACTTTTTGTTTGTCTGTTTTAGCTATGTATGCAGCCCGTAAGCTGTCGTCTGGCGGTTAACGTAAAGGTGGCTGACACGTTAAAGGTAAGATGTGATATAGCTAAAATCTTCAGGTCTATCATGTATGTAAAGATATATTTTCCAAGGCACAATATCTTATCTCACAATTTTGTTATCAGGACACATAACATGCTTGCACAGCAAAAGTATCATATTTGACTCAAATCTTTGTCATGAGCTTTAAGTTCGGTATATTTATTCTCTCCGAGTTAGTGATTAATGATACTTTGAAACTAGTTTACTGGACCTCTGTCAACAGTCAGGTGGATTGGCTTTAAGTCTGGTGGTCTAGTTTTGGCGATTAGGTCGACTAGTATTTTAGCTAAAATCTGGCAGTTGGATGTGATCCAATCTGAATAATCGCGATCACTTATCGTTCAGATATATAAGAAGGGGTCAAAATCATTCTTAGGCGACCACTGAGGCACTATTTTGACTAATATTGTATCTAAAATACTAGCCTCAATAGTAATCAGACGCCTAACTAAGACGCGTGAACTTCAAACACGAGAAAACCAAGCTGGCTTCAGACCTGGTCGTGGGTACATTGACCACATATTCACCATTCGTCAGGTTCTAGAACACAGGTATGCTTATCGGCATCCGATAATGGTGGTCTTTCTTAATTTAAAAGCAGCATTTGAATTTGTAGACTCAGAGGTTCTGTGTCAGTGGCTGTCATTGAAAGGCGTACCTCAGAAGTACATAAACCTTATGAAGGCTCTTTGCTCGAACACAGTTAGTTGGCGAGAGCTTACAGCGAACAGTCATCTGCTTTTGCAACCTCGAATAGTACCCGCCAAGACTGTCCACTTTCTCCATTTTTGTTTAACTTCATAGACATACTGATGGAAATAACATTCTCGTCGACTGAATTCTCGGGTATTGATCTCCTACCGGGAGATCCACTTATCGACTTAGAATACTCAGATGACATAGTCCTGTTTAGTGAAGACTGATAACATGCAGTCTTTCGGTAGCACTAAGCAACAATGCCAGGATATTTGGGATGCGCTTCTCTCCCTCTAGGTGCAAGTTGTTGCTTCAGGACTGGCCTGGGTCAACACCTTAACTAAGGATAGGGAGTGAAGTAGTCGTCGAACGCGTTGACAACTTCACTTATCTTGGATGTCTGATCAGCCCTAATGGGTTGGTGTCTGATGAAATCTCAGCACGGACTCGGAAAGCCCGTTTGGCTTTTACCAACTTACGTCACCTATGGCGAATGCGAGATATCTGTCTATCAATTAAGGGATGAGTATACTGCGCGGCAGTTCGTTCTGTTCTACTTTACAGCTACAAAATGTGTTCATTAAGAGTAGAAGATATTTGTACGTAACTAGTCCCGACCGAAGCTGCTGCCTTGACGCGGTGGTCGGGCTTGCCTATCGTGATGATCCAACCGAGCTATATTGGCTGGAACATATGTTCCTGTAGGTTCTACCATGCCAGGCAGGTCGATTGGTGAACGGTAAGACTAAAAGCAGCAACTCAAGGTCTGAGGGCGATGTCGTACTGCTGACTGTAGAGAGGTGTGACAGCAGTAAGGTATTTCCTTCAGACAACCAGCATGACAGCGATGCTGCCTTCCCACAAGGAGGGGTGGGGTTAGAAAAGGTCGACCCAAAAAATGTCACACCTCACCTTACCTCACGGATTTCCGTCTCCGGCGTTAAGGCCGTTTGAAGAACGGAGCTAACACGTCAAAAACCTTCCACTAAAAGGCCGTGCGCGACCGGCCTCAAGCAGTTGCTCCTTGGGCTTTGCGGTCACGCTCCCAGGTCGCCAAGACCAACACTAATCCAATTTCCTTTTCAGGTTCCTCAAGAAATACCCTTCCACGGTGTAGGCAGCCGAGTAGTGACATCAGCCCTCATACCCGTAACAACACACGAGACCAAGTTGGTCACATTCAAATCCTTCCTACACCTCCTAATACCTCTCTTATCTCCATGACTAACCCTCCTCACGTCTCTTCATCACCTCGGACCGCTAGGGCAAACGATTCGAGTACGTGGAACGCTATTCCTGGTCTCATGAAACCACGCTCTAAACTACACGTAGGAGCTTTGAACGTCCGAACACTGTGCCAAATAGGACAGCAGGCTTCCTTAGTTAGGACTTTAGAATCTCGCGCCACCGATGTGTGCTGCGTCTCCGAAACGCGCATACAAGATCCGAGTAGCGTCATTCATTTGACCTCACCATGCCAAAATAAAGAACCGACTCGATTTACGCTTCGTGTATCTGAAAGCCCTAATTCTGCTTCCCATGACCTCGCCGGCGTAGGTATAGCATTGAGCCCTAGGGCAGAATTAGCTCTCTTAGAGTGGATCCCAGTAGACAGTCGTTTGTGCGCTGTCCGACTGAACGGAACAGTAAGAATCCGAAAAGATAGGTACACCCGTCGTTGCCTCTTCGTCGTTTCTGCCTATTCTCCCACTGACTGCAGCTCAGATGATGTAAAAGATGAGTTTTACAGAAAGCTTTCCGACCTTCTCTGAAAAGCTAGGCGCTCTGATGTAGTAATAGTGGCCGGTGACTTTAATGCTCAAGTAGGTAAACTAAGCGATAGGGAAAGACACCTAGGTGGATCTTATGGTGTCTTGGCTCAAAGAACAGATAATGGCGACTGTCTGTTGCAGCTATGCTCAGCTAATCGCCTGTTCCTTGCAAATACTAACCTTAAGCATAAGGAAAAACATCTTTTAACAATGCGACCCCTTAATTCGTCCCAACGTTGGACCCAAATAGATCACATCGCTATCAGCCACCGATGGAGGGGCTCGATAGAAAACTGTCGCTCATACTGGAGCACATGCTTAGATTCAGATCATGCTCTAGTGCGAGCGCGTATCTGCTTGCGTCTTACTGGACGTAGGAAAGACGCTGCAAGGAAACCTCTTAGGGGCCTACTTAATGATAGTCAAGCTAAAAGTATATTTCAGGAACAACTAGGAAAACAGTTAGGCAGCCATGTATGTGATGCCCACCCCGATGCAGCATGGAATGATGTCCGAAAAGCTGTGGAAACAGCAGTGATATGTGCTAGTAAGGTAAACCAGAAGGTCAGGGAGCAACACTGGATCTCAGCAGCATCTATCGCACTGATAGATGCTCGGAAACTCATTCCACCTGGCTGTGAACATAGTGAAGAGCGGAGTCAGCTTAAGCGCAAGCTGACAAGAAGTCTACGCAATGATCGCGAACAGTGGTGGGTAGCGAAAGCAAGAGAGATGTAAAAGGCAGCGGCAATAGGTAATAACAGACAATTGTTCAGACTCGTTAAGGAAACCGGAATTAGGAACCCGACCGTTAGCGGAACAATCTCAGAGAAAGATGAACATATTATTCATTCTCAATCCAGGAGATTGGATCGATGGGCAGAACACTTCAGGGATCAGTTCAACTGGCCTTCAGCCACACTTCGGTTTCCCACGATCCCCAGTCAACCTGAATGTCAAGTTAATGTAAGTGTCTAAAATATTAGCCTCAATAATACTTCGACGCCTAATCAAAGCTCGTGAAGAGCAGATTAGAGAAAACCAGGCCGGTTTTCGACCTGGACGTGGTTGTATAGATCAGATATTCACACTACGTCAGGTTCTAGAACACAGACACATTCAGACGTCCCACAATGGTAGTATTTCTCGACCTTAAGGTGGCATTCGACTCTGTTGATCGTGAGGTTCTATGGCAGTGTTTGTCACTGAAAGGAGTACCAAAGAAGTACATTAACCTTATTCAGGCTCTCTACTCGAACACAACTGGTAGAGTGAGAGCCTATGGCGAACTGTCATCAGAATTGATTACCTCAAGTGGTGTTCGTCAGAGCTGTCCACTCTCCCCATTCTTGTTCAACTTTGTGGTCGACGTACTTTTAGAGATGACACTCTCCTCATCTAAATTTCCAGGGGTTGAACTTCTACCGGGAGGTTCACTTGTTGACTTAGAATATGCTGATGACATAGTTCTATTTGGTGAAGACGCTGACAAAATGCAGAGTCTTCTGACCACTCTAAGCAACAATGCAAGCATGTTCGGGATGCGATTCTCTCCCTCGAGATGCAAAATGTTGCTTCAGGATTGGGTTACATCGACACCCGAACTAGTGATAGGGAGTGAAGTAGTTGAGTGTGTCGACCGCTTCACTTATCTTGGAAGTCTCATCAGCCCTTGTGGTCTGGTATGTGACGAAATCTCAGCATGGATACAGAAGGCTCGACTAGCTTTTGCCAACTTGCGTCATTTATGGCGTAGGCGAGATATCCGTCTATCAAACAAAGGACGTGTTCGTCCCGTCCTACTTTATGGCAGTGAAACATGGCCGGTAAGAGTAGAGGATATTCGTAGGTTACTAGTATTCGATCATAGGTATCTTCGAAACATTGCTCGTATATCATGGGACCATCGAGTAAGTAATACAGTTGTTATGAAACGGGTACTAGGTAAGGATGGCAAATCAATTGATGACGTAGTGAAAATTCATCAGTTGAGATGGCTGGGACACGTGTTACGTATGCCCAACGACCGACTGCCTCGACGTGCGATGTTCAGTGGTATAGGAATAGGTTGGAAGAAAGCTAGGGGCGGCCAGACCAAAACATGGCACAAGTCCATGAAGTCACTGACAAGTGGACTGAGTCATGTCGGTAGGTGTAGACTACCTGGTTGGGGACCGCGAGATGATCGCAACCGATGGTTAAAGACCCTGAATGACATGGCTCAAAATCGTTTGCAATTGCGCAGGTGCATCCACTCTTTGTGTTCTCCCAAATTTCGATCTCCTGATTCCCCCTTGTCTCTTTTTTTTCTCTTCCCAAGTTTATTTCACTGTATTATACTCTTTAAGTAACATCTCCAAACACTAATCTTTCCGATTACTGCTTATACTTTTATTACCTCTACCACAATGGGATTTGGATCGACAACTGCATCTCTGTGTTAAGGTGGTGTGGCAACTCGAACTGATGTACGTACGTACGAAGTTCTACGTTGTTACTGACTGTACGTAACTAGTATTTGATCACATGTTTTAGAAATATTACTCCCATCTACTCGGATCATCCTGTAAGTTATGGCGAGGTTAGACGCAGGGTATTAGGGAATGATGGTAAATCAGTTTATGAGGTTGTGAATCTTCATCGACTGAGATGGCTAGACCACGTGTTGCATATGCCTGAATACGACACACAATGCTGACTAGTGTTGGGAATGGTTGGAACAAAGTTAGGGATGGGCAAACCAAAACGTGGCATCAGTGCTTGAAGTCACTAACTTCTAGTCGTAGCCATGTCGGTAGATGCAGACTACTTGGTTGGGATGCGCGTAACTATCGTAACCAATGGTTGGAAACTGTTGGTATCATGGCTCAGAATCGATCACAATGGCGTAGGTGTATACACATTCTATCTTCCATTAAACTGAGATTAGAATTATTTCATATCTTTGTTTTTACGAACTAATTCTTTCTTCCTGTACTATATTCTTATTACAATCTTTTATATATTACAACCTCTGAATTAACTACTTTTATGAATCCGATGTCCCTCTTGTGCTAATGAGGTATGGCAACTTGGACCGATACATATATGTGCCAGGTCCTACGTTGTAGCTGACATACTGACTGAGTCTAAGTCCACTGTAAAATTGTATTCGCTTTTGCTGATCTCGAGGGAGATCCTAAAAGATTTATATCAGAATTGTGGATAGAATATTCTCTTTTTGTCATTTAAAAAGATGATGCGCCAAAATCTTTACTTTGAATTTTCATGGTTAAAATATTTTACTCAACCGGTCAACATAGAAAAAGGAACTTTAAATTCACAAAGTCAGAGACTGAATTTAGGATTCTCATCACAATCTGACACCAACAGCAGTGCCGTTGTTCTTAGTTTTAGCACGATAACTTGTTCATTTATCCTGTTTCATGGTGGGTTAAGACGTCAGGGTCGTTCGAGGGTATACCTTATGTTTCCATCAGTTGCGAATCAGCTAATCCTAATTGACTAATCTATTTCGGATATCATGACAGTCTCACTAATACACTAACGCTCATTATTATCATGATAACTGTTTGAGCACCTGAGCAGTATCACAGCCCACATAAAAAGCAAGTGACGTGTGGTACATATGTACTCGGTGCTCATTTGTACCAATATATGTGTTCAAATAGATGAATAATTATCGTTGTATTATTATGCTATTTATCACATACGGTAATTAATATTTCTTGCTGACTTTTTCATTCACGGTATAGTTATGTTGGATTATTGTGATAGCACTTCCAAACTATGTTCTGCAAACTGAGTGTAGTTTTGGATATAAACTTGATTTATGGACTTTCAAATATTTCCATAAAAATTAGTGTTGCTATTGAGTAGTGTTGAGATTTTCTACTAACAATATTGCTTTACTGAAACTTGAGACTAAAGAATAAACCACGTATCTGCTTTATAAATACTTTCAAATATTTTTCCCATTTTTTTTGCCAGTTTAGTTTCACATTTTACATTTAGTAGCCATTATTCTATATTGGTTGTATACATCAGAAAATATGCTCCCATTATAATACTGAGTTCTTGGTTAATCAGTTATTCAAAGATTAGTTATACTTTTTATTCTCACCACAGTCTTATCATTTTGTTCACTCAATGTTTCCTGGGAATATTTTCTCCGTTTCTTATGTTGGGCTCAGATTCTGTCAATATTTTTTCTCAAAGGTTTTCCATTGTAATTAAAGCCTTAAGTAGATCATTGCATCGGACACAACTCTCTTAATGACTGAGTTAAATATTTATGTTAACTTTAGAATGTAATGTTCTTAATTCGGCTTTAGCAGCGATTATAAATGATTCTATTATCTTCAGAGATTCAGAAACTATGTCAGCATATTTGTGTTACTTTATAATACCCTGTTCAGCTACAGACTAGTCTATAGGGGCTACTTCAGGTGTCAGGCGAGTTACTAGTGACTACACGTAATTCCTATAAGTAGTCTTAGACTACATATTAAGGACTCTCGCATTCGTTCGATTTGTGCTTATCACTGCACCACCAAATCAACATGTAACCTACAATAGTTTCTTCTGTCTTTCGTGGGGGCTAAATGGTCGATTATTATCTTTGTTATCCGTTTCATCTTTATCACAAGCTTCTGTTTGCGATCTCTGTTCAAACCCAAAGTCGGTCGGACAAAAATAGTAATTCATATTACCACAATACATAGCAGCATAGAAACATCCAACAAATATAAAGTCAATTAAATATACGTGAATGACACGAATGAAACAGACGTTAATTGATAGTTGTTCAGTATTTCGGCGATAAGTAATGAATGTATTTGAGCCATTGTGACTAATTCTCATTCTTTTTGCATCTGATATCCTACTATTAATTTCTGCCATCCCTCGTGGCGGGGGTGTTGTTTACGAAAATGAGAGGGCGAAAAGCGAATATCTGGCGCTTTAGCCGGACCCCAAACCAATAGTGCACATGGGCTCCAGTATCCTGCGGGAACAAATGGCGTATGAACCAATCGTTGGTCATCGGCTACCATGGGACTGCATCTCCTTACGATGCTCCACTGCCTTATGTGTCAGACCTTTAGGTCGAAGGCTCTGGGTGTGGCTCCCCAAGAAAACCACCTGGTTCGGTTTGGGCACCCGGGCAGTATCACAGCCCACACACGTGTGGCGCATATATATTTGGTGTCCCCTTGTACCAATATTTATGTGTTCAAATAAATAAGTTTTCAGCTTCTTTTACTGATTGCATAAATTATTGTCGTGTTCTGCTCTGAATTAAGCTTTCAACATAATTTTGCTTCAACTAGGGTTGTAGGTTAGGGTTACGACTTGATATGCGTAACTTACACAATTAATGGACATTTATTTATTTATTTTAACACATAGATATTGATACAAAAAGGCACCAAATACATATGCGCCACACAAATCTCATTCGATATGTGTAAGGGCTGTAATACTGCCCGGGTGCCCAAACCGAAGCAGGTGGTTTTCTTAGGGGGCCAAACCCCGAGCCTTCGACCTAAGGGTCTGATCCACAAGGCAGCGGAGCATCGTAAGGAGATGCAGTCCCATGGAAGCTGGTGACCAACAACTGGTCCATACGCCATTTGTTCTCTCAGGATACTAGAGCCCATGTGCACCATTGGTTTGGGATCCGGTTAAAGCGCCGGACATTCGCTTTTCGTCCTCTCATTTTCGTAAACAACACTCCCGCCACGAGAAGGCAGTGAGTAGGACTTCCCTGATAAAGTCTATATACGCGTGGCCATGTGAGAGCATTTCGAGAGGGAGAGCGGACTCTCCCCACTCTCGGCCGTACCAGAGCATTTGGGGGCAATGGACATTTACAGAATTTCCAATCAATCTTATCTAAAATCATGCATTTGGTAGGTTTTAAGCATATACCAACATGCATACAAAATACCGCTGCTTGCAACTATATTCACTTAGCTGAACTATGCCAAGTTGTCTTGCTTTACATCAACACGAGGAAAATTAAAATAGTTAATCTCTTTGATAAATTTTAGCACAGCAACATAAAGTTAAAGGTTACCATAACTATGTGATATATTGATCCAATACATCCCAAACAATCTGATTACACGTATACCTGTTCAGACATTCATAAATGAACATTAAAGGGTCAACAAAAAACACTAAGGAATAAAAATGATATTGCTAATAGTGATGGGTAATAAAAAGTTCTTCAGATAAGAATTTTTAAGAGGAGACAATGTGTATATATTGATACAATGCTCATACGTACAAAATCCTTCGCTGAGTCTACGAAATTCCTCTCTGTCAATAACAAAGAGACCTCTCATTTCCACACCCAGGTCCTTTCAAACAAAAACATTTGAATAACCTTATAGACGACTCAATTCAGAGAGAAGGCCTTCGGTCGACCCTAATGGTTGTTTCTGGTAGCATGATGTACTTGGTTTCATTAACCGGATGATACTCGGTTAGTAGTCATTCTAGGAAAGTAAGACCCGTCGTCCGCTAATATTTCTACCCCTATAAAATGGCCACGTCTTTAGATGCACACATGACATTATATAGTTTATATTCTGTGGGATAGGGTGTATACTTGATATTTGCATTTTGTGCGCACTTTTTCAAGTTATTGCGTATTGTAAGATATGAAACGGAGTTTTATCCAATGAAACTTACCCTCACTGTCCGACATACAGTTTACATACTAAAGATGTACTTTTTACTTACTGTTTATATATTTAATTGTTCGTCGATTACTCATTTATGTTGAATTTGCTTTGTATTAGTGTAGGTACACGTAAACACAACGGAAACATAATCATACAATCTTACCCATGTATCTTAGTCTATTCGCGTTTAATCTTTTACTGGAATTGTCAGTTGGTTATCCTAGTCGGCTGACTTTCGAGTTACCTGATAATGAAGGTATTTGCTTCTACGAAGATCTTCCAGCTTCGAAAAAGTATGTATTTAGCTATCATGTCATTCACGGAGGTCAAACTGATGTGGATATCGTAATTAAAGATCCTAAACAAGTGATTATTTCTAATGTAGAACGTGGTTCAGACGATGATATCACTTTCACAACAATTCCTTCTAATGGCACTTATTCTTTTTGTTTCAGTAATGAGTTCTCTTCTATATCACACAAACTTATATATTTTGAAATTCGACCGGAAGATTTTGAATCATTAGCTGAAGAGGCTGGATTACCGGTTTTCCCAACTGTGATGACTTTATTGGATAGTGTTGTGGAGGTGTTGCATCATTATCTGTCACGGGCTGAAAGTTTCGGGATCGAGTTGAAAAATCGTGATTATGGTGATTTCTTGGTAGCGGAAGATTTGAATTCAGCTGTTTTTGTTTGGAGTGTCATTATTACATTTGTTGTGATAATAACTTCAGTTGGACAAGTCACAATATTAAAGAATTTCTTCAGTGAGAAAAAAGTTGCTTATTCGGCAATCCCAACAAGTTATCCTGCCCATACTTTGAGAACATAATTTGGTGTAAATTCTAGCATTGTTTCTGCTATATAGGATAGTTGGGATTAGAAAATGACAAGCATGGGAAATATCGACTATTTTCTGACTCCCGTTCATCTTTATTTTCTTTTTTAGTCTATCGATTCTGATCTTATTTCCAATCAAACTTCTCAAATTGTTAACCTGTACGGATTCAGTTTCTAAAATTTCGATTTGTATTTTAAACTTTGTCTTGTTTTTGTGGTGATTTGTTTCTCTCAGACATTAGTTTGTGTTATGAAAAACATTCTTTTGGCTAGCGGATATTTGCTGACGACCACTGATTGTTAGTTTACTTTTTATTAATAGCTGAATTGTATCTGATGTTTACATGGTACAGATGATTAACTGGCTAACGTAGCTTACAACTGACCATATTTTAGAACATTCATGTTATTTTTTAGTCTGTACTGTTTACAAATTTGGCTAGTGTAAAAATATAAACTATTCCGAGTTACCCGCTTTCCCCTTTTAGCTTACATGAAAATTTGTTCACCACACGAAGCTACTGATTAGTGGCTTCTTGGGTAAGTGTGTGTCATGGAAATGCTTTGTGGAGGCTGAATTCTTTGTACTCTCCGGCTGTAGCAGGGTTTTTAATTTATAATGTGCACCCGATCGCTGCTTCACGAACGATGTAAGCCTGCATCTTCATCCTGTTTCTCAGAGACATTACCACAAGGTTATTTAATCTTCTTAGAGGGATAAGTTTGTGGTTATTACATGGAATCTTATCTTCCACGGACTTTTTGAGAAGTTCTGAGTCATATTTGATTACGTCAAAAGCCACTGAGTTGAACTGTCTCTGACTGTCCAGGTAATCGTAATGGACTAATATTTTATAGTCCCATACATTTTTCTTTCAAACCACGAGGCTACAAACTGATCACTTGTTCGCTTTTCTTACCTCATCCCAGCGTCGACAACGCAGTGCACTGTGTGGAAGTTGCTTGGATGACACGTAACATATCCAATCCTATGTTTCAATATGGTTACATTAACGGAATTATTACTACTATGTCTAGACGCACAATACTGGCATAGTTTTACAATTGAACGCCAGCAATTCAGAGACGACGACGATCGAACACAGAGGGTCGCCGAACATTCTCAACTCGAATAGGTCAGGTTTCGCAAACACAGCAGGACTGCTATCACCAAAGCATTGTAGACCCGACCATTTGCACTCAGACTGTCATCAAAGGTGGTCCAATATAGGTATATAGGTCTCATCATTCACGCCACCACCAACGCTCATAGAACTACCCGAACACACGAACTTTTCGACCACCTTTAACAGCTCACCACCAAGAGTGAGGCTTCTGCCAATCGTAGAAATACTCTGCACTTATAAAGTGCAAAGTATATGCCATGCCTACTGACTGGACGCGATTTGCGTAGTATGTGTATCATCGCATATTAAGACAATATCACACATGATTCGCTGGAGTATCCCAAGCAGCTGTAGAGAAGCATTGCTTATAAGCGCAGGACGTTTTGAGAAGTCACGTGAGACGTGACCTGTAATTTTCATGGCGTCTTGCAAACGCAGCCGGTGTTCATACATACTTTTCGGTAAATTGAAAGCTAGGCTTGATGTTTAGTTGCAACAAAATCTGCAGCCAATTTACTCAAAACAATCTGTTTAGGACGATGAACATTTTGGCCACTGAGACGTAACATGAGATTAGTGTAAACAAGGGTATGATCAAAGTCCAGGTATATACTCCAAAAGGAACAGTATAACCACGCCAACAGTAACTGGTCACGGTGTGGTTAATCTGAGTCGACGACTGGGTTGCAGAGGTAGGGTTCCAGGTAGCACACCAGCGATAACTGCAGGAAATCTGACGTTCAGAACTAGGTTGTGGTCTTCTCAAGTTTTCAGGAGACCGTCATCGTCATTTGTTCTGCAATCAACGAGTCCCTACTGGTCACCCAAGCTTTCGACCAAAGGATCTAATCCACAGTAGAGTGAAGTGACATCACAAAATGCAGTACCATGGTAGCCGGTGATCAATGTCTGTTCATGCACTTTATTTCCACATCCTAGAATTCATATGCATCACCGGTTTAGAATAAGGGTCTTTTTAACTTGCATCCGTACCCGTTAACCCGCTTCGGTCGCTGGATATTCGCCTTTTATCACCCCACTTCTGTAAAAAGCACCCCCACTGTGAGAATGGAGTGGATTGAAGTCCTCTGTCAGCGGTTATGAATGCGTAGCCATATGAAAGCATTTCGTGAGGAAGAGAGAACTCTGTCTACCCTTACTTGTACTATGACATTTAGAGGTCCAGTTTCGTTTATCGATTCAACTCTCCACTCAATCGTGGCATTTACTCAGTTGTCTCACAATACGTCACTGGTACTTCGAAGTTTTTGCGATTGAACACCAACAATTATAAGATAAAGGTACGGACATCTTATGTCCTCGGACAATTGGGAAAAGCTAGACGGGCTTTGTATCCGTGCCAAAATTTCTTGACAACCCACCAACCCAGCAGTGTTAAGATTCACAAGATAAAAATTACTTAAAGTAGCTCGTTCTCCAGGTACTCGGGTATAAGCCACACAATTATTGTAAAGGCTAATAAAACCACCAAGCTGACGCTAACTATCTCAAGGCACTATTCTTCAGGGCATCCCATGTCAGCTTATCAGGCCTTACTGCACTTCCACTCTTCAAGTTTATTATAGCTTTCTAGTAGTTAGATGCCAATTTTCTCATTCCATCAGCCGAGTGTAGTAGTATGAACACACAGTTATTAGTTTCCTTGTCTTCTACAGTGGTAATTTGAATGTGACCGTTTTATTATGACTCATATGAGGTACGACCTCAAAGGTGCCATTATTATTTGTTTTTTAGTCGTAACAGTAAATCACGTCCCCCACGTCGCTCACATCCAGCTCGTCCCCAAAATTCCGACCAGTGGGATACCAATTGTCAATTCAACAACGTCGATTCATCTCTTGGTAGTCAGAAGTTGCGTAGTGGTGGTCAGGGTAATTATTCTGCCAGACAGCAGTCGGCGCAAGTAGTATATCAGGAATAGAGATCCTTACACACTTTTACTGGATGTTTGTGTGTACCTCTTTAAGTTGAGTTAACGAAAAAACTTCTTATATTACATTCTCATATCTTCATTTCTTGTTGTTGTTTGAATATTGTTTCTTCTGTTACTTTCCCGGATTTATATATATATATAGTCTTATATCGACAATGTTGTCTGGTTTTTCGCAAACATTATTACTAATACCCAATCTCATCTCCTTCATTTCTTACATACGAATACGTTACACATGTTTATACAACATTACAATTTCTTAAACCTGTGATTAGCATGCATATCTTATGTGGTTCATTAGTTTATTCGCGCTCAAGTAGCAGTACTTCATTTTAACCGGTTCCAGTCGTCTCATTCAGTACCAAGATTTTTAAGCAATAAAAAGACAACCACTTCAGGTGTACTCATAAGAAACTGTTATGTCTTCATTTCTGTCACTTTCTAAGAATAATCACCTTTGAAATAACTACTTATCCACCGGTAACTGCGTTTTTCCATCTAAGTGTATTAACTAGTTCTAATTTATTCTATACGTTATCTTCTGAATAAACAATTTCTCTTCGTTACAATTTTCTCTTCATACATTTTTTCACACTTTCCTTTGTTAATGTGCCTTTTCAAGTCACTTGAACTTTCTAGTAGTATTTGTTATTTCTCATGCAAAAACTGATGAAAGCATAAAAGCTTTTGTCATTTTACAGTGGATAGTTTGTAAATTTTACTTATGTCTATGTGTTAAGCATGCTTGTGTGTGTATGTGTGTGGGATTAGTGCTCTTCAACTTGTCAGTCTTCCAAACTCTTTCTAAAAAAACATTGCGGTATGAGTGGCCTTTTAATGTAATATGCTACTCATTCATTTTATTGTATTGGGTTTATCCATCTTACTGCTAGCTTGTTCTCCCTTGTTCATGCGCCTCTTGCATATTCGTTAATCAAGTTGCATTTTCGTCCTTTTTGTGTTTTTTCTTGTGGGCGATATACTGCCTGGTTGACGCATTCAGCAACTAACAGTCCTTTTAGCAATCGAATGTCTTACAAACATCAGTAATAACTTTTTTGATTGAGATCATGAACCGATTGATGTTAGACCACCATCGAAAACCTGGGTGCACTGAACTGTCGTTTCGTTCTATTGTGGGACTCCTCAGCAATGCGCATCCACGAATCCGCTCACGATATTCGAACTCAGGGCCTTCAGTCTCGCGCGCGAACGCTTAACCTACCGGACCACTGAGGCGGCATCCAATGTTGTTAATGTCTAACCTCAATCAATCCACGAAATTGCGCGTCCATCTTCCATTGTACTGAGCTAGATACATGTCTCTACCCGACACGGATTAGCTCTACTGGTCACGGCTTCTCACTAGAACTCCGAGAATTCCCTCACGAAGCTAGTTACCAGCGAGGTTTTCAATCGTGGTCTAACATCAGTCGGTTCATGATCTCAATCAAGAACTTAATAATCTCCACAACCTCTATGCTGATAATCAGTACTAATTGCCTATCAAGTCTTTTTAGTATTCATTTGTTTTTCATATCAGTTTACAATTTATCAGGTTCTTAGCGATCAGAAGTTTTATGAAAATGGCCAATATATTATGTTTGATTAACACTAACTGAAGAATTTCGGAACTGATATAACGGATGGTTTAAAGTATTATTGTCGTTCTCAGATATTATACGATAATGAGACTAGTCATGTCGTACCAGATTCAAAACTTAATTCGAGAAGAACTAGGTGAACATGTGGTGGTCGGTATCCGATATAATCCTTAACTTCGCATACAATTCGTCTTGCTAACCGTTCTGTATATCGCCCCAACCGTATATTAATCAGAAGGCAAATACGAAGTGTTGAGTACGTTTATTGCGAGACCACACGCATATATCCAAATGTACAGATGCGTTAAACAAGCATAGAAGAGTTGTGCCGAAAGGCAAGCGAGCGAGACGAGAACGTGTGAGTGTTGAATATATATATATATATATATATATATATATATATATATATATATATATATATATATATATATATATATATATATATATATATATATATATATATGGTGAAATGAATGAGTAAGACTAGCAGAGTGAATAAATGCATGGGCCGTAAGCAATATTCAAGCATACGTATTTCATACAAGCACAAAATAATAAGGGTACAATAAATTGTTATGGTGCGAATGTCTTTGTCCGCTG